TTTTGTACGATGAATATATGTTATAAATTTTTTTTAGTTAAATGGTTATATAATTTAGATAAACTTAAAACTTAGTGTGTATGATATACGTGAAATAAATATTGGCTTTTAAAAACTTAGCTACTCATATAATTTAATTTAAGTTTACAAATTTTCATTGAAGGCTCTGGATTTCACCATTCATTATTTTGCGAGGTGAGAGTGGGTTCCTCTATTTTGGGTGTCGGACATATTATAGGATTTCATCTTATTCTCCCTCACCATAAATGGCCCCTAATAATCATCCAGGTTTTTAAACAAAGATTAATTTGATCATATCCTGGAATCTTGAAAGTTAAGTTGCTCAGTTGCTAGTTTGGTTTGAAGGGTTTTTTTGTTTTACAGTTTGGCAAAAATTATTAGATGAAGGATAATTTCTAATAATTAAGAGTTGATCCCTATTTAACAATTTAAGTTATACAATTTAAATTGCAATCGATGGTGCACAACATTTTTTTGCACATTTAATTAATTCTTATATTGTTTCATATATCCTTACCAAAACTACAAAATGCATGGATGATTCTGCTAACCACCTTTTACATGTGAAGTGGCAGCAGAGAAGAAAAAGGTCAGATGATTCTTATGTTCTTCTTCTTCTTTTCCATTTTTGTGTAATATTAAATCTAATAATTAATTTTTAAAAATATTTATTAAAAATAATATTTTATAAAAATGAAGAATAATATGTACTATTTTTATATTCTTATATTTTGAAAGTATATCTTTTAAAATGGTTGAAGATAAAAAATAAAATAATAAAGTTTACCTAAATCAAAATTACTACTACTTTATTAAATTTCCATCTAGATAATGATTTTCCATTACTTTGTCAATCAAAATTAGGATAACGATTTAATTTATTGCGACTGGGCAACAATCTCCAGCTTTTCCACGCGCTTAAGTGGAGCGTGAAGCCACTCTCCTACCAATAATCAGGATTTATCCATCCAGATTCCAGAAGCAAAATAAAAAAGTTCCTGTACTGTTCGGTTTATGTGAAATTCCGAGAGAAGGAAGATGGTGGAGCTCAAGAGCGTAGGCGTGGTGGGAGGTGGGCAGATGGGTTCCGGCATCGCCCAGCTCGCCGCCATGTATGGCCTCGACGTACATCTTATCGATACGGATCCGGTAGCTCTCTCCAGTGCCACCAAATCTATCTCCGCCTCCATTCAACGTTTCGTCTCCAAAGGCCAAATTTCCCAGGTAAACCGATCATCACCCTTTTTGTTCTCTATCTCTGCAATTCCTTTGGTCGAGTTGAAGAAACATCGAACATGCGACCGCTGAGTTAACTCAGCAGTTGTACTACTCCGTATTTTTTTTTTGTATATGTCGTACCATGTGTTTTTTTTTTGTACATGTTGTACCATGTTTAAAGTCTGACATCTCTTTAGTACTATGTTAGAACAGGGAAGGTTATTGTCAAATGGACACACTTAGAGTCACATAAATTGTATTAATATTATTTTCATGTTGGTAATTGAAAATTAATA